ATATTTCACCACATCAACTCTGCTTTTCCTAATCCCACCAAATGCACTTTTTTGCCACTTACCTTAAACTAGAGTTTTAGAAAAACGCTAAAACAGACGCCTTTAATCCCCTGATAAAGACTAGACAAGTAGTAAATGATGAACATACCTCTGCATTTGCAAGCTGCTGAATACCCTGCGCATCCTTTTTAACAGCAAGTTGTTTTGCTTGGTTCAGGATCCCACGCAAAGCAAGATGTGGTGCGTTCTGACGAAGAAGAGAACCCAATTAATCAGTGTGTCATAACCAGAAAGAGACTATTAGTAAGAACAAACCAAAAGACTTTCTGGATTGTAAAACAAATAAAGAGTAGAGATGCAACATCAAGAAGTCTTTTTCATTGATAGGTTGAAGTACTCAGAAATCAGCCAAGGCTAACATTCAAGCTGCTCTTTTGCATAGTATAACTTCTATGCCGGACAACAATAGAGATGTGAACTCATATAACAGGACAAATTAAGGTCGTTCTTTTTATGTAGCATTAAGACTCAGACACTGCAAAAGTACAGTATCAATGTACAGCACAACAGCAAGGCCAAATGAGAGACTACAGACCAGAAGGGAACTAAACTAAACCTTAGACAAGTTTGGATGAAAATGATTGACAAAACAAACTGCTGTAGACCAAATGCATTTTGCATGCCTACGAAAACCATTCAGTTGCAGCACTGTCAAATATGAGATCCAAAATAACCAGAAAGCAAGTACTGCATCTAAAGCCCGCCCCTAGTTTGAAGAACATGGTGGAACGCCAAAACCAACTTGAGAATGAACAAGGATCAACATAAAATGAAAGGGAACTTAAGGAGAAAGATAGAGCTTGAAATGTTATAACTAGCTACTGAAGGAGAAGATACATACCAATTCATCACTTAGTGCCCTTAATTTTCCAAGCCGCACAAGAAGCTCATCCCTCTTCAGCCTAATAGCTGTTTGTTCCTCCTCGATAACTTTAATCTCTTCGTCTAAAGCTTCAACTTTTGCATTCAGTTTTTTAATTTTCTCCGACATTGCATCACGCTCCTTCTTCAGTCCATCGAAATCAACATTCATATGCTACAACACGACGTTCAACGAGATAAACAGGCGTGCCAGAGATGAAAGAGATAAAATAAATAGCACATCAGAAGTCAGATAACACAACACTTTGTTTTATATATGTGAGCTTCATCATGGTTCCAGAAAGGTCATAACTGATCGAATATATACACAGAGAAAGGAAGGAGACAATAGCATAAATAAAAGCACACAACACTTACTTTGACCTGATCTTGAATGTCATCTTTCTGACCCATTGATTCCTGAATCTTCGCTCTCATGGCAACATTGGCAATAATATTTGGTCTTTGTCCCTTTAGCTGTGCTATTTCTCTGAGTACTTGCTTTTCCTCAGACAACGGGATGCTTTCATGCTGAATGTAGTACTGCAAGCGGCGTATCTGAACTTACAATGTAAATTATTAAGAAAAGTTAGCAACGAAAATCAGAACAGTTATTTATTAAAGCTATGGAAATTGTTAGATAAGATGACAAATTATCCTACAAATCCAAGAGCATACAACATACAGCTTCATCGAGCTCTTCCTCTGATGTGAATATACCACCATGACCATTACTATTGTTTTGGAGCTTCCCCAATGCCTGCTGCAGAGGCTGCATTTCCTTTCTCTTATCACCCATGATGTCCTTTAGGTCATAGAACCGAGTTCTTAATTCCTTCAGCTCGCCAACAACCACTGATCGAGCATCCTGTACAGCAAGCATGATCACTGACTACTACGCAAACTAAAAGTCGCCTCTCCATGGTAATCTTTTAGCTCTATAAATTTCCAAGATGCCAAGAGTGTATACCTTCCCACATCCAACGGTTTATATGGAAAATAAGAGATTTAGCCCACTAAGCATGGTCCATGAAACCGTACCGGAGACCGTACCGGAAAAGTAAGCGGTAGGGTATTTTATGGCAAAACCGTGGTTTAACCGTAGTTCAACCGTTAGTACCGTTAAATACATCCTATCGGTTTAACCTCCGGTACTGGTATTTTGTGGTTGAACCGCCGGTACGGTACGGTTTAATGGACCATGCCACTAAGGTGAAGATTTCAGTATCATCCACACTGCATCAGTTTTTTTCTTTTGAATTCTCTTTACTTAAAACATATGCACCAGTTTTTAACACATTTACATGCACATAAATTTCACTATAACTACTGACCACTACATTTTGTACAAGGATCTTATGGTTCCCAAACTTCCATGAGTGAGGGGAAAACACCAAAACGGGACATGATGCCCCAATCATAAGCTGGAGCAAAATTCAGCAGCACAGGTGCCAATGGCTCTAAAAAGAAAGCTTGGAACGCATGCATGGAACCTAATAATTTTTTAACCATAAAGTAATCATGTTAAAAGAAATTAAAAGAAAATGTTTTGGTAGGTTATCGTGTAATGCATCTGAGCTCGTGTAGGATCACAAGCTTCTGAAGGAATCATCGCAATAAATGATAACATGAAGAAAGAAAAAAAACTGACTACGGCGATTAATTAGTTTACCGATGACTAAATCAAGCAGATAACACATGATATACCACAAACCAAAACTAACCAACTTACCTTTAAGGGTCTCAGACGATCCCTAGCCTGATACCAAGACTCATGATTCTTTGTTATCTCCCTATCAACTTCTTCAATTTGGAGCCTATATCTGGAATTATCGGCCTTCAATATCTTTGGGAAGTAGAAAACATGGACCACGTCACTAGTAGGCCACTCACCAACAGCGTTCCTACGAGCTTCGGTATCTGCATCGGTCCCAACTCCCTTCTCTACCTCCCATCTATCAGAACCGAATTTGATGGCCTCATTTGGTGCCGACCCTTTATTCATTTCCCCATTCTCCATTTCATGCAGAATTGACTTTTCAACTTCGGTCACAGCATCAATTGGAACTTGAGCGGCCACATCAGATGCTACAACAACCTCAACGCCCATTGTTCTACACCAAAAAAACCAGCTTTACAAGATAAGAGAACACCAACATCCTCAAAATAAAAATAAAAACTCCTTTATATCCCATACTTTCAACTACCCCTTCATATAAGTATTTGCACAAGTTCTCGCACAAATACAAATAGATCAATAACATGCACGGAATACAGACCTAAGTAAACTAGCTACATTCCGTTCATATCCCAAAGGTCTGAGCACGGACCATGAATAAATCATGGACAGGAAGATACAGAAAATCAGCCGACTCATCGTATCATGCATGTGCAAACACCCAAGTCTGAACGAGAAAGGATTGTAATTGAACCAGTAATATCAATGTAACACCCCAAATCGAAACAAACGAAAGCCCAATCACCATAGATCACAGACCAAATTCGCATCAGAGAAAACCATAATTCTAGAGAGATCAACCATCTATAGGCAGATAGAATCAAATACAACATTTGCGACAAAGTAATAAGAACCCATCAAAGCTAAGAGAACAAAGATGATCCAAAACCAGCTGATGTACAGAGCAGAGAGTGAAAAAAAAAAAAAAAGACTAGAAAGCGGAAAGAAAGAGACTCAGAAAGGGCAATTGGGGAAATGAAACGATGACGCGAATCACAGAACAGTGAAGAGTATTACCAGCGCACAGCAGGGAAGGAGACGGGAATCGGGAAAGAGAGATTCGGAGAGAACAAGAAGACCCTCTAGAGAAAGGGCGCCAAAGTATCGAAATTTTGCCTTGAAATGTCTGGCAAAGCACAGCGAGGAAGATCTCAGACACCACTCCCCATCTTACTCTCTCTCTCCCTCCTCTCTCTTAGCTCCCTGAGTGTTCTTTTTCCCTTTCCCTGAATTTCTAGTGATCTCTGCCCGTCTCTACATAAAGACGAAGAAAGGGAGCGGCAAGAGAGAGAAAGCGCAAATGTTAGTTTCATACTTTCACTTTCAGTTTCAGTTAGAAGCTTTTCCTTTTTTTTCCTTTTCTTTCCTTTTTACAGGAAATAAATAAGAAAGAAAAATCTCAATATTAAATCTATTATGTATCCAATATCCATCTACATAAACTTGCCTAATAAAAAATTTGACGTTTCTTCTGAAAAGTAAATGTAATATAACAAAAAAATTATTACATTTAAGTAATCTAAAAAATCAATAGACAAATTAGGAAGGAAATATTACGAAATAATGCAAATACTTAGCATTAATCTATTTAAATTGTATATGTATTCTAGTATTATCTACAGAGTTTGCTCACTTATTATTTAGTTCAAACTTCAAATAGTGACGGGTTAAGTGTGTTTGGTTATTGACTTGTCTATATAATGGGGTCGGTAACATTGCATCTCCCTTTTTATTGTGGATTATATGACAAAATAATAAAGTAAAGTGACTCTTGAGAGAGAAAAAAATGTTTACATTACTCTTACTCGTAATATTTTTATAAAATTATTACTCAAAATGTGTAAATAGTATTGATAAATTTGACAACTTATTCACAAACTCTCATATATTCGAAGAATGGGGGAAAATGCTCAAAAATTATACAAAAGATCTTAGGTGTTGGATGAGCTTGATGATGGTGGAGAATGCTTCAATAAACACACCAAACGATGAACTGCTATGTTTATTTCGTGGGAATCATGTACCGTCAACGATTGTCTCTCACGATTAACGCTAAAAAGGGGATGGATGATTGAATGCTTACTTCCGGACTAAGAATCTTTCGACTATTGATAATTGTGCGTCTTTCTCAAAGCAACACTTCTCAATTCTCACATAAAATTATATCAAATTCGTGAATATACTCAATCTAATAAGAATACATTTAATAACTTATTCCTTTGAGTATTCATTTCCAATAACTTCAACTTTACTTCTCAAATTTAAGATAAGGTTAACAAAAATAGCTAAGACGTGACTTTTCCAAATCACTTAGAACCCAAAGTTTAGTTGCCGTCTATGCAATTGATCCACCCGTGCCGCCCGTAAGGCCGTAATAGCAAAACCGGCTGGTTGAACACAGAATCCCCGCTAAATAGCTCTGCTTTGGCAATTGCTTGCGCCGTCCCACTACAACTTGTGGTTTGGCTGGAAAATGGTCTTCACCCTCTCGACTGCAGCCCCGTGGCTTCTACGGAAGGCATTTCAACAGTTCGCACTCGTCTCTCGGCCTTTCCCTAAGCCTTCGAATCTCTCTTTCCATGGAACCCTTCGCTTACCTCCGGTGGCCTCGCCTCCTCCGAGCCGACAAGTATCAGGTTCGCGATTTGTGTTGACCGCGTTCTTCCTCTGTTTTATTGCCTGTTGTGGTCTACAAATTACGTCCAATCGGGCTGCCAATGCCTCTTCCTCTCGAATTTGATTGAAACCTTCGGTGAGATGATGGTGTTCGATGAAAGTCCTTTCGATATCAAGTTTTCACAGTCGCATAGTGATTAAAGGGGTTAGCTTAACAGTGCAAGTGATTGTTTTTGCATCTTTTATTGCGTTTTGTTTTTTCAGGCATTTGTAGCTCGGCACAAGCTATGAAGAATCAAGTTGATGGGTTGCTCAACGGTGTAGCAGATAAAGCCGTCATTGAAGAAGTGATTGAAGAAGTGAAACACGTTCTTGAAATGGTAGTATTGTATCTTGAAAATGGTCTTGTTTCTTCCATTGCATCATATGCATATCAGAAAGCTGTCATCTTTTCCACCCCACCGAAGTCAAAATTTCAGGTTCAGTGGTATTCAGTTAGGGGATTCATGGTTGACTATTCTATATCATCTTCGCATCTTCACAGGCTACTAGGGCTACACGTGATAGACAAGTTCTCCATACCGATTTTCTCACACCGCCAACAGTGAGAGAGTCGATGCTGGCGTTGGAGAAACTGGCTGACATTACAGCAGTTGTCCAAGGAGGATATCCGCAGGTTAAAGCTATTGGTTTCGGGTTTGTGTTGTGCCCTGCTGCATTGATTCTTAGACTTGGGTTAGTTGCTCATGTGCCTCTGACAACATCCTAGGCTGAGCGTTGCCGGATTTCAATTGGGCATCCTGAAGTAATTGCTGATGAGGATGCAGATGCGGTTGCAGCATTGAGGTAAGCCACAAGCTACCGATGTTTTCATTTTTGGAAATTGCTAAGGTTTCAAGTGCTCCTGTCCTTAAATGTATATTTTCATGGATATTTATGCTTTGTTCAGTATAACAGGAAACTTTGGATTCGTATCCTGTACTCATGGTGACTTCTTAGGTTCAATTCTTGGTACAGGAATTGTCAGGGAAAAGTTTGGGGATGTGTTGCTATTGGAGGTATGTTGTTGAGCTATATTGTTTGCCCAACTTATCAACATCTTCTCGAAACACTTTTGTGTGTGTGTGTGTGTGTGTGTGTTTGAAACCACTAGAAGATGAAGTAGATAAAACCTGCCAGTTATGAGCACAACACAGTATGAATTGACTATCACGGCATGTGAACATGCATCAACTGCAATATATGGGTCAAACTGGATCTTGTCTATGGATATGCTGTTTGCTTTGCATTTGCTTTTCCTTGCAATGACATTATCAATTGACTTAAGACAATTTTCTAACAAGTGGGATGGGCCTTGTGTGAATTTGGGCAATCCATAAGTATTGCTTGCAACCATCATCAACATTGAGTTTAGGCTGGAAACTAGTTATACTTTAGGTTGGTGGTCTTGAGATTAGTCAGGTTGAACATTCTGACTGACAAACTGCACATGAAGCTTCGCCATTTCTTACCTGCTGGCTGGATTTACTATTTAGAGAAATATAACTGCTGCCAGCATATATAAGTTCCTGATGGCTGATGATTTCATAAGAAAACAGTTCTTGATGGCTAATGTTTTTGTTGATACCTCATACTAAATGTTATCGCGCAAAGGGCACTATGTAATTACTGGATACACGAATGTAGAACAAAAACACTGGCTGGAACACAAAGATGACAATTCTTCTTCAGTTTTGCTTGAAAATGTTGCTTGGTGGCTAGACACTTATTGTTCCTCCTTTTCTCTTTGATGAAATATTTTCCAGGGAGGTAAAGGGGCACAATTTTTAGTGGTTCCAGAACTTGTTGACTTTATGACTTCCTCATTAAACAAGGTATTGGTTCGCCACACATTACTTCAAATCATATTGCTTCCTTAACAATTGTCAAATATTGATTTGCATGACCTGTGTAACATAAGAGCAAGACCATAATTAATAGCCAGACCATAGTTATGATGCCCAGTTGATACATGATGTGTTCCTGTCTATCTGGTATCTGCATTATTATTTCAGTCTGATAGGTATGATTAAATTCAGAACTTTTGTGTGTTTTTAGTTCATCAAACTGCTATGTCTTGTTCGCTCCAGAGTTCTTGCCACTCAGTACTCTCTTTATCTGTGTCTTGGGCACATTTCTCCTTTGTCAGGTCGGAAGTGTTTCAGTTTCATGTACGAGGATACCCCTGCATGATCTTGATTATCAGCCTCCACAGTGAGATATCCTGAACTGATTGCTGGCTCCTAGTGCTTTCATTCTATTGTTGTCGTTGAGCCACAGAGTACTAATAATGTTCATCTCTTACCCTTTTCTTAGGACCAAGACATTTAGAACAGTAGAAGCATCACTGAGGTTAGATGCCCTGGCCAGTGCAGGTTTCAAAATCTCTCGGTCCAAGCTTGTCGATTTGATCAGGTACCTCCTTCATGAATCAATCTATTACTATCATAAAGCCGCCTCAGGGCATTTCCATGATATGAACTTAACCGTCTGCAAGTTAAAATTGTCTGGAGTTGACAAAACCATGTATGTTCTTGCAGCAACCGGGATGTGCGAGTGAATTGGAGCACGGTCACGAAAAACAATACAAATTTGAAGAGTGGAGATATCGTCTCAGTCAGCGGGAAAGGAAGACTGAAGGTCAGCAATCAGCTTTTCTCGTCTACTAGATTTTCCTTTTGGGTTTCATACTGCATTTTCTTCTCTGGTTTTCGCTTTGTTGAATCAGTTGCTGGTTAAGCTCAGGTAGGTGAAATAAACAATACAAAGAAAGGGAAGTTTGCCGTGGAGCTCATTCGATACATATAAACCAGCCTCAATCAAGCAGAGCTCATTCCTTCCGTCAGCCGGGTAAAAACTGTTATAGATGCTGAATTGTCTCGAGACATTGGTTGTTGTACCTCATATGATTCTTGTTAATGCAGATTCTGTTTCATGATCATATTACGACCGATGAAAATACGTCACACCCGGCAACTGCATGTTCATTTTGTGTTCTTGTCTTGTATGTATCTTGTGTAGACTGAAACGTGATTCCAGTCTCCAGAGACGAGAGAGCACTCATGGGCCTTGTGATTGATTGTGTTAGTTTGGACTTTGGAGGTAAGGGGCCCAGTGGATAATTTTCCTTTGGGCCCTCGCTCCCCAGTCTGCACAGAAGACTCGTGGGCCTTGAATCTTTGCAGGCTTGTGTTGATGGGCTTGGACCCAGTTTGAGCGTCGAGTAATTTCCTAATCCCACAAAAGTTTTAGCTTAACAATTGTAGCCTATTGTAGCCTGCCCTGTAGGATAAATACCATATACCATTGACGAGAACTCAAATTATTTATCAGATTATTAAAAATATCTATATTGATAAATTCATTACATACTAAGTTACAACAAGATGGGGTTAAATATTGGTTGAATTATGTAACCTGAATCACATACTGACACCGTCATAATTAAATTGTATGTGCTCGAAATTCAACTTAAAGTTAGAATCATACAAACATGAGATTTAAACAGTAATTCAAATTATTAAAAAAACAAAAACAAAGTGGCCTTTGTTTAAATTATTGTACATCCCAAGGATTGAAACTTCCTCCTGATTTATTACGTCGCTAGCCACAAAAATATATAATCAATACATGGGTAACATGTACACGTAAATGTACAATCCACGCTAAGCTACTACCCCGAAATCAAAACACTCAAAACACCAAACTCTCTTGACTAAGTACCAAAAGCAACCCACTTAACTAGTTTCTCACAAGTGTAAACTCTTGTGATATGCTTGTACCTAAACCCCAATTTTCCAACGTGTATACAAATGTCACAGTAGTAGTTCATAAAAATCTTGATAAACGTATGTAAACCGTAAATCAAAATGTTGGTGATAATGACACGAGTTTATCAGATCTACAGATCACCACGCGTGACATTCTGTATGCACTCTCAATCCGATATGTACTCTCCGTAGTAAACCGTAATCTTTTCTCCCATCTCTTCAATCCCTTAATGAAACCAGAGATTTCATTTCATCAAGACCTTCCTATAATCTCTCTCTCTCTGTCTCCGAAACCTCAAAAAAGAATTTCAAGCGTACCCACAAGACCCGTACTCGCACTTCTGACCAGGAGAGCACCGCTGGTTGCACTCCCCGCAGTTGTCGGCATCGTACGCCAGGCTGATACACGCGCCGTTGCAGCAGCTGCGGCCGAAGCCGCACTTGTTCCCGCACGCGCCGCAGTTGTTCTCGTCCTGGCGCACGTTCCGGCAGTTGTTCTTGCAGCAGTAGAGGAGGCTGGTCCCGTTGTTTGCGGGGACGCCGTCGCAGATGTTGCCGCCGCCGGGGGAGCAGCGCATCCCTTTCCTGATCCTCTCGTTCAGGAACAGGCTCCGCGACCGGAACCTCGTCGTGGTAGGGTTGTCGAGGACGTAGTACTCCACGTCGTCGTCCACGTCGGCCGCCGTTGCCGTTGCTGTGTGAGGGTGGGAGGATAGAGAAATTAGAATGGCGGCTGCTAGTGTAATGATAATGGTGAGGTGGTTAAGTCCGGCCATTGTTGCGGGAAGAAGGTGGTTTGAGAGGGAAGGAAGGGGAAGGGAGGGATCAGTGTCGCCGACGAGATTGTAGGGCAAGGGATATAATGGTTTTGTGTATGTGTGTGTGTATGTATATATATATTGTGAGGGTATTTGTTAATGGTGTAATATAATTATTATTAAGTATTCCATGATCTTAGGGGAAGGAAGGTGGTGGTCTGACAAGACTCACTTGGGCATTGCTAGATCATAGATGGTGTAACATTATTATAATTAATGGAATTGATTAATTGAGATTCGAGACAAATGGCAGAAGAAGACTGGGTATATTTGAGTTGTAGTTAATTAAGTAAACAATAAATTTCTAAAGTCAACAATAAGCTAAAGCTAACACTTCCAAAAAATTTGTTACCTTGTTAATTAGTGTCCAGCTCTATGGTAGATTAACAGTTGATGGTTTCCATGTTATGCGTCTCTTTTTTTATGGTGGCATCGTATTTGGGTCTCGTGTTGTTGATGTGTTTGATGTACATTTGGGTTGGTGGGAGTTCATGTTTTTGGTGTACGTAGTGCGGTCATATAAAAAAAGATTAAATGATGTAGATTTGGCAACATTCTGTGTATAGCAAACAAGAGCAGTAGTACGAAAGTGTTTTCTACACGTGTAGGAGGTCTAGAGCATGTACATTGTACTCTGAGTTCGGTTGGAAGATTGATTAGGGTTTGTGTTGGAGCAAAATTTTGATCTTAGATTTGACCTCGTCCATACAAATCACATAACGAAATTATTTACATGAAATTTTGAACGATTAGAACCATATATAGTGCAAGTGCATGATCTAACGACATCATCCTTCGGCCAAAGCAAGATTAGTTAAAAACAGCGCTTATATTAGTAACATGGAAAAGGAAAGAGCTCATGGTATCCAACTTGGACACGTATAGGTCAACCGATTGTTTTCAATTTCGAAGTAATTAAGAAAGGCAAGCAATTCCATGTTTACAATTACAGATACTTTGCCGTACTGGAATGAAAGGCTGGCACCTGCGTGCAAGGGTTTTGGGGTTTGAATTAAACCAACTAGAAATCTACAGAGAGATTGACAGCATTTTCTGGGTTGATTCATGAACTTGACCTAAATTCCCATTATTATTTCGCCTTCTCTATAGCAAGTATATTTATTTTTATTGATTAATGAAAACCCTAACTCCATTTCTTCTTCTTGTTGTGGGTCGGTGAGCAAATAACTATATTTTTAATTAAGAATGCAGTTGACGATTAGTGCTAAACTGTAGAATAATACGCACCATGTTTGGCAATTGATTAAGTTTTGAAATCGGGCTCTACTACCTCATTATGCATGATTGGACGACGTTGGATTTGAAGGAAGCAGAGGGCAGGGGTAATATGCCGACAAAATTTAATTAAGGTAGGAGGTGTCAGTAACTAATCATGCTAGATTAGCTAGCTAGTGTGCAGTTAATTAGGGAAGAAAGGGGGGTTTTGGTTAATCATTATAGGCTTGTAGTAATATACAGCTAATTAAGTAAGGTGGTTTAGTTTATTGTAACCTACTAGGTACAATTAATTGCTTGACCCAGAAGGCAAGGTCGCCGGTGGCAACGTGGGGAGGATCTGCTTTCCCGGCGGCAAACGCGATCGACGTAGGCGACTGCAGGCTGGGCGCCGCCTCGTATGCAATTGCAATCAACAACAACACCCAACGCGCTAGCTCACGATGGAAGTCCCACGTGGGGAACGGAAAGGGAAGACTTCTCTCTTTACGAAAACCATTAATGGTGCCCAAAAGCCAACACCATTATTCCAAATTACAGGTATTGTTTAATCTTAATTAATTGATTATTGATTGTCATTTCCTTGTTGCGAAAACTGAAAAATGTTAGCTTGGGGATTAGTTCTAATCAAATTAGTGAGAAAAATAAAATGTTATGAAAATGTTATATTTGTATATTAAATATCAATTATGTTGAAAAAATGATAACCATTTCTAAAATAAAATACATATGTATGCATATATCGGAGAGATTCCGATTGGATAACGAGAAATCATGTTCAAGCATTACCCAAATATTTGAATTCAGGTTTTATTTATTCCCCTAAAATCCTTTTTAATTTAACTAGAATTCGCGCAAATATCCGTAAATTGTCTTCCCAAATTGCTACCCGTGAGTCCTATAAAAAAAACAAATTGCTACCCGTGAGATTTCATCGAAGACTCCAACAGTACCAACACGGGATGGGATTAGGTGCTAACCCTTATAGGAGTTAGCACCGTGATAACTAGCAAAAAACGCTACTAAAAACAAGGAAATCACTACGAATTATTATAAAATCAATACAACATCTAAGCTAAATCACTACTAATTATTGGTTAGGACGATGCTAACTCTTGTACAATTAGCACCTTAACTCCTCCCTACCAACACTGCCCGGCTGCCCACCCAGAGCCCGTGACACTTTCACGAAAGCCAACCGATTTGCGGGCCCACAGTATCGCTTAACCCTTCTCCAGCCCAATTAAGGAAACGCACCTGGCCCATACAAGGTTGACACGGCCGAAAAGCCTCTTTCCGTAACCCAATTTGGATTATTTAAACACTCTTAGACCATGATAATATTGGGTGGATTCAAATTCCTAATTGGAGTCATTTTACCCTTCTAGTCCTCTTGTGGTTGATTGCGTATTGTACGTTTGATTTTGATAGAGGAAGAGGACTTCTGTGATTAAAACCTAATATTAACCAGATAATTTTGTAAAATAATGTTTGATTCAAGTATTGTAATTGACAAAGAATACACGAAATATGTGGCATTACTTTAACCAGTGGTGGATGTAAGATTCTTCGATACGTGTGTCAACCGAGAGAAATGTGTTAGTTACAAATACAAAGTTGATTGCACACGTGTGTCAACCGTTATTTGATTATTTTTTTGGTACCGACGAATTCTAGATTTCTAAAAAAGAATCGAGTGGAGGTGTCGAGCCGACACAACTCCTTAGTACTTGGGTTCGCCCTTAGTACTTAGAGTTCCATGTCCAAATACTTATGCTAAACTCTTCTCGTGATATCATCATGAAAAAAAAATTAATTCCTCATAATTTATCAATATATGTTACGTATTCAGACAAGACCTCATATCGAGGCTACCTCAAAATTAATATCAGTTCATCTTATCTTCATCCACGATAGAAAGAACATAAAGCGAAGACGGATGGACATACATTCTTGTAGTGCAAGACTATACGAGAACTGCATGGTGTCAAGAAAGGCAAGACAGACAAGATAATGACAAACGATTTCATTAAAGATTGATATGAATGATTTGCAAACGAAAAGTCGCAATTATTGCAAGCAAGGAAGATATTAGATATGCATGTCCTAATAAAGCAGGGGGAAAAGGTTAGTAATCAGATCTCAAACCAGCCATCAATGTGCATGACACTGAAATTTCAACCGCAAAGAGGCATCATTTCAAGGGGAGAGCTAATTAATTAGGCCACTCAGTCATTCTCAAATGTCAAATTTCCAGTAGAAAATTTCCCCAACAAGTGTGGTGCAAGATCACTGGATTAATAATGATATATGTTGCTGTCGATCCACTCTTTATTTTATCCACTTCCCATGAAAACTGTTCTCTGCCTTTTCCTCCCCCCTTTAACAAAAATAAGAACCTCTGATTGGCCATAAGAAAATAGTAAGCTAATTGTAGGTAGCTAGTGATGCAAATTTCCGACCTTATTCGTGTAATTTGATTTCATCCAATTTGGTTGGGTCGGGTTTCATCGTATCCGTAGTAGTAGTATGGAGTGTAGAACGTATACTACTTTCGTCATATGTTCTGCTTCATCCTCCTTATTTATTGTTGATGCATCCTATATTGATAAGACTCAATATCTACATGTATCTCTCTTCTAATCATTCTTATTAAATCATATGTTTACACTAATGAAATAAATAAGTGCAAGACTTGATTTTTTAACCAACTAAACTCAATTATTCAATACATTATCTCTTTTTTATTTTGTGAAGTGTATTATCTTTGATTTATTGCAAAATAGTTAAGAGTTTTTTTGCAGTTTTTCTCTCTCTCTCTTCACATTACATGTGAAACTGGGTCAACATGTTCCACACCTTTACCCATGCGAATGATATCCAACTCGCGTTTAGTCGGAAATTAGTATGAGTATTGAAGTATCAATCCATTTTTCAATTAGTGTGAGTATAGTATTGAACTTGTTTTTCTTCTTCTTTGTCTTGTTCTTGCTCTCGGGGGCCTTAATAGTTAATACCGTGTGGGGCTAAGAACGACCATGGTGCATGTTTACTGCGTATATAAATCCACTGTTCACGCCAGGATTCACCAATAATGTGGTTGATCAACTTACAATATGGACAGAAATGAGCATCACGGGTCCCTCCGAATTGTTGTGTCCTTCTCCTCCCTCTGTAGTGTGCACTGAATCCAGCCGGCCGCAATTTTCCCCTTAATTCCGGTGGTTTAGGGTTGCTTTTGCTTGTGCTTTAATTAAACTACAACAATATGCTCTCTAAACCATACTTTTTATTTAATTACAACTTGTGGCATTACGATACCGTAGTATTCTGGTCATTAATTGACGACCATACAAAAAGATGATCAGCTGATTCTTTAGCCAACTTACAACATAGTGAACCACTCGCTTATTAAAATTGTTAACTGTAGTTATTTTATTAGTCATTGTGTATATGAAGAAATGAGCCGGATGGAACGAGGATGGGACTGTGTTCAGAAAATAATTGTCCTCTCGACTAGTAATGAACACCATATGTCTATCAGGGCCAAACAAATGAGTTTGAGAGATGACTCCTAAGATCTTCCATAAGTTATAAACGCACTACGTTCATTTTACTCCAAAAGAATACCTGAAATAAATTCTAAATATGATTGTAATCGATCATATGCTTTAACATCACTCATTTGAATATTTTTCTAGAATCCAAACACCGAACCAAAAATTGTCGTGATCCGGAGATAAATCTGTAATTAACATCCTATCTACCGGAACACAATACTATATATCAAAAACAACAACACCACCTCATCTCTCTCGTGAATGGATCAGCACTTGATCTTGAATTGGAGCATAGCCATGATTAACGACATGTACAATGTCAAAAAGGGGAGTCTGTGTTGTGCTCCACAAACAAGACACAATGATTTGAGACTCTGAAAAACAAAAAGAATTCGATCCCCTTCTAATTTTTTCTCCAGCTGCCAATAATATTTGCAGTTAATGGTAAAGTATCTGGTCCCCAAATGTACCCTTCTTCTTCCTCCTCATCCTCTTACCATTTTGAACTTAATATATTCTTCTTTTTAATGTGGCCTCTTTTTCTAACAATCAAAAGGGAAAGCTCATCATCTCTCCATATATGGTTGGGAATTCGATTCTCACTTCTCCTTTCCTTTCCACCCGTATGTCAACGATGAACAATCATTATCTTTAGCAACGAAACGTAAGGAATTAGCGACCAGTAAATGAATACCATAACGTACTTTGCGACCTTTCCTGACTCGGCGACGGTTTTCTCCGTCGCTAAAGATAATTGTTTATAGCCATGAATTACGGTAGAGGCATCACATTCTTCCATCACAACTAAGTGCATTCTGCATCACATTCTTCCATCACAACTAAGTGCATTCTGCATCAGCAATGCACACTCGCTGATTTTAGTTGATTCTGCCTGCACTGAATTTGGGTTGCATCACTCTGTAGCCAAATTCGGCAAACGTATGCTAAATCAAATGTCAGGCTGGGAAAAAAGGAAAGAAAATGCTACCTAATATTCCTACAATGGCCACTTAGTAAGAAATTCTGAACAGTAACATCTAAACAGTAACAGTATCTGTGATAGTGAATATATGAAGGGAATAACTTGGAGGCTGAAGAGAAGTAGGAACTAACACTAATGGCATTGCAGAGTAATCGATCATAGGCTTAAACTAACCCTACGGGGAAGAAGAGAATGTTCAATGCTCGATTGATCATCTCCCTGATCATTCAATTATGCTATTGCGTTAAAAAAAAAAAAAAACACGCAATGGGTGTAAAATACGGTTTCGTTTCACCATGTTTGTGATCCTTTAAGTTTATCCATTGGCGCAATTACTGCGTTTGGTGATTCTAGCGGTGTGCGCCCAGAGCCTGCTTTTTGATGGCTATGTAGCCTGCCATCGTAGGAGATCTATTGTTTGTTCGTTTTTGCAGGTGATTTGCTTCATCGGTTGTTGGGAGTGACTCATTTTCATTTTTAAGGGGACGAGAAAACAACCAATTTATGTGCATCATATGCAACCTATGGGAGGTTCATCTATAAACAATTCAAGTACGAATTATATTAAATGTAGACACAATGGATCGAGCGGCATAGGGTGGAAGGAAAACCCACGCACGCTCGATATTGCCTCCCCAAACCATATTGGGGCAGAACAGGCAAAAGGATAACTCATGTGTATCACGTCACATTCGAATTGTAATCCTTACTTTTCTTAATAGCACCTAAATTTTTATTCATTGTGCTTATCAAGTCATCGAAATTACCGATCAATAGTTGATAATGACGAACCCTTTACACAACTTGTATAAAGGAAGTGATGTGTAACATCAAATTACTCTTCACACAACTTGTATAATGTGGTAGCATCAATTTAACCAAAAAGGAGACAAAATGCACAAAATAGTGTGAAGTGTAAACCATTTAATAATTTTATATTTTGGTGGATTTATTCCAAAGTAAGAGGTAGCTAGGGAGGAGGGAGTGGTGTGGCACATATGCTCCTCCAAGTTATAGTCCAAAAGTAATTCCATTTTGCAGCAACCAATCCTCCCTTCTCTTCTTCCTTCCTTCCTTAACACATTTGAGTCTGCAATATATATACTCATAACACACAACTTAAAATTCTCCCTTCCTCCAACCAAACAAGTCACAACCCCCATTTCCCCCCCATCTTCCACAACCCCATCTCAGTTCCATGACGGGAAATTCCGATCACGGCGGCGGCAGCGGCGGCTGAGCAAGAAAACAGAGTGAGTGAGAGAGTTTTGGTTTAAGAACAAATGGAAGGCAGCAGTAGTAACAGTGCAGTAGGGAGAGCACTAATGAATAACAACGAGAGCCAAAGGCATCACCTTTTCCCTCAATCATCTCCATTGGCTTCCCCAAACGGCAATTTCAGCAATACCAACGGCGGCGGCCACCAAATCACCAGATCTGATTACCACCACCACCACCACCACCATATGAATCCTTACCCAACAACCTTCGTCCAGGCAAACACCTCAACTTTCAAGCAAGTCGTCCAAATTCTCACTGGATCCGCCGACACAGCCAAACAAGCCTCCTCCCCAAGACCCCAAGATCCTCCTCCACCGCCGTCGATGAGGGGCAGCACCAATTTCCCCATTCCTCCGATCAGAAGCATACCCAACAAGAAACAGCAGCAGCAGCAGCAGCAACAGCTCTACGAGAGGAGGAGCAACAGCTTCAAGCACCGCAGCCTGATGATCAACACTCTGCTTCCGGCCGCCGGCCGTTTCACCTTCAATCCCAATCTCATCTCGTCTTCTTCCCCCTCCTCCGCCTCCGCCGCTGCGGAGATCTTGTCGCCGAGTATGCTGGACTTCCCCAAGCTGACTCTGAGCCCGGTTACTCCTTTGAATCAAGACCCATTCTTCCACAACCACAACAGCTCCTCCTCCTCCCCCTGCCCTTCGTCGGCGGGGAACTGCAGCAGCAGCAGCAGCTCGTCGTCGCCATTGGAGGAGGAGGACCGAGCGATCGCGGAGAAGGGGTTTTACTTGCATCCGTCGCCGTTGTCTACACCGAGAGAATCGGAGCCGCAGCTGCTGACGCTGTTCCCTTTGACGTCGCCAAGGGCAGCGGAATCGCAGCCTCCGGAGCCCTGAATTTTCTTTTACATTTTGTGATTCTCTTGAATGGGTTATGGACTTATGGTTATGGTAATGGTTTTGATTTTTGAGGGAGAGATTAAAGATGTGTTCTTTATTTGTTTGTTTGCTTGCCTGTAGCATTTGATGATTGTTCTATCTCTCACTCTGTTTCTCATAATATTATTAACACCAATTATTAAGCTTCGGTTCCTTCATGTTCCTCCTGATATGATAATTTTTTAAGAAACAATACTATCGCAACCTATTCAAACGGCTACAAGATTTCCTTCTTCTGAAAACGCTTGAACTAAAAGACGGATCAAACTACAAGTTTAGTAAGATTTCATATATAACGTGGATTGAACGAAAGCTCAATAATGGTTTACCATAGAAGAGATTGGACAAGGAAAAGAGAAGAAAAAATTGATACAAGAAATGAGAAGAAGGGCGGGGAATCGCTACAGACACAAGACTGACAGACAAAAATTTTGACTTTTAAATCTGACTTCTGCACCCATTTTTTCCTGACCCTGTCTATGGTTTCAGTCTGCAATTAGCTTGCCGACCAGGCAATTACTACTACCACGACTACTAGCTGGTTTCCACAATGAGAACAAAACAACTGACGCAGAGTTGTCCTCGACCTACATTCTGATCTAATAATAAGATTTGCCGTTCAAGAAACCTCGAGTTGAGGAGTGACAGCATGAACAACATTTGAAGATCAAACCAACTAGGTAGAGATGACAATTTTATCCGTTATTGTTGTTACTCAACTCGTCCTTATCGTAACAACATTGAGAATTGCCGTGCTGATTAAGTGAGGCCAGCATGAGAGAGTGCTCCGAAAATGATAAGGATGGGACGGAAATGGAGTTAGCTACCTTCGTCTCGTCAATCTCTGTAGCTACTTTTATTTTAACAATCTCACATGGAAACAGACCTTAAAGTCGTAAGATTTCGTTTGTACAATAGTTACCCGGGGCTGGTAGTGTTTTACTTAGGTGATACAACAAAAGCAGGTTGATGCCAGTTCTAGGCCAACACAGGGCATTAGATCATACAATGCAGAGCAGCACATTATGGAATTATATGTGTCATATTTCCAGAAAAGAGTTGATGGTCTTGAACCCATGATTTTCAGGCAAAGGTGCATTCCCTGGCCGAACAGAGATCATCACCTTCAGACCTGATTGATCATCAATGTGCATTTTGTCAGTAGGATTCACCACTTCCGATCGTCTCAGGAAGAAAGAAAATTTGAATATACATTCTAGTCATGCAGAAATTCTGGCAAGAAATTGACATTCACGGTCCGAATTGCTGATCCAAAATTTTGTGACTGTTTATGTACTAATTGACCCCTAGTACGGTGAAGAAAGAAGGCACGCTAAGGCCTGCAGTTTGAGTCAGTAAAAGAGATAATTGTGTTACCTGCTGCTTTAGCTGCTACTGCTTCTTGAACAACGTCCGTCAAGAACAAGATTTCAGACGGGCTATCTACTCCCAACGATTCCGAAATCTGAACGTAACTGCTTGTCTCCCTCTTGTTCCTGCAGAGCCAACGGAAATAACAAGCGTAAGGTTGTTCCTTGTACTGCAAGGTGTCACGCAGAGTTGAAAATATGCCGAGCTTACCCAATATTAGTGTCGAAAAACCCAGACAAATATTTCCTCAAATCTCCAGACTTTGTGTTCCCGAATACAAGTCTCTGTGCCAACCTGCTGCCGCTGGAATATATATATAGCTGAGACATAGAACAGGGTAGATTACTACATTGGGACATTATTCCGTACCTCAATCAACTGTTAATATATAAAGTTACTACGATTGAAACATGAGATATCTAGGTCAATAAGGCTCTGATAACATAAAGCAAGAGAGGTCCAAAATAGATGTCATGCTGTCATGCAAACAACTTAATTGTTTGGTAGTACTGAAGAAACAACGCTACTCAAGAAAATGTTACCTTTATGCCCAAGGCATGCCAGCTCTGCAATGCTTCAGGTACATCATTGTAAAACTCTCCTTTCAATTCATTGTTCTGAAAGCCAGTTCTCCATATGTGCCCCTGCATGAATGAACGATTTCTCATCAAACTTTAGAGGACATATGATTGATTCGAGTTAAGCAGAAGATCCAACCTGTGCACGAGAAAACATACTTGTAATTGTTTCAAGGCAGTAATCTTGCGATCTGCTCTTATCATTGCCTCTACGTTAGCAACCAGTGCTGCAATCACTGCATCCTTTCCAGCACCATCTGGTGGAATGGGTACAGCGCCATCAATGCCATGTGCCAAGTCATCTTCAACCTGTTAACACGTAGCAAAGAAATAAATTGAAGGACAAGAATGCCCTACTAAGAGTCATCTTTCAATTTTCATAAGGAAACCAACAGATACTTTTTACCAAGTCTACCCTATGCAAGAGATGGCAACATAAGCAACATGCATTAGATTAACAAAAAGAGACTTCATAAAATTACCTGAGATCGCAACAACTTTATATCCTCTTGAGTATCCTCAGTCTCGTATGTTGCTGACAGATGCTTTCCCACATTGTCACGGGCATAAGGAAAAAGGACATCAGCAACAAACGTTATAGGTGTGGTAGTCCCTTCAATGTCCAGGAGGATGCAGCACTGAAAAATACAGTTATAGATATATTTCACAGAGCTTCCGAAGTAGTGATGCCCAAGAAAGCCTTATTGTACACCTTTCCAAGATCAAGACATATATACCATATCAAAATAGATGCTTGAACTAACTCTATCATGCACAAAAGAGCTTACAGGAAATGGCTCACTATTGTGACTTGAATCCTTCAATCCTGCCTTCACTGGCGCACTTATAGCTCCTCTGGCCTGCTGGATCGGACCATGGCTTGGGGTAGACCAGTCCAGGCCCATTTGATGAAGTTTGATTGCAGCGTCGAAGAGATAATGATAACATTCAGACTGCAAAAAAAATTCCCAGTCCATAAAAGAACAAATGAATGAGTGTAGGAACACAATAAAGTACCAAACTCCTGAACATAACTGCTATCCATCTACCAACTGTTAATTTATGCGAATATTAGAAGTACAAAATATTGTACGGCCAATATTAGTATGAACAAAACATTAGATAAAAGGTCATCCCCCGAAAATTTCAAACCATACAGTGTGTTGCACAAACCTGAGTTTTGGCGCTAATCCATGTGTCCCCCCATACATATATTCCATGGTTGCGAACTAGCACAGCAGTTGTCTTTGGATATGCTTCTATCTAGCAGTTGAGAACAAACTGTTAGCCCAAGGATATATCTGCGGAAGACATAAAACTAACATTTCAAACAAAATTATCAGAAAGAAAACATTAGATATGGTTATTGGGTATATATCAGTTATCCTACACTAAAACAATGATCAAACAAGAACTCGAATTTATGCCTAAGGAGACTGCATCTAAATAACACAAACAGTCACCCACAAGAAAAGCATACAACTTCAACAGAAAATGACAAGTCTCTGCACATTATACCAGCCATTCAAAGACTGACTATAGTGTTTAAGTAGGGTCAGCTAGTGTGACGCATAAAGATTAATATGTGCATGCTAGAATCACTTAACAGATAGTACAATATTTAACTGGTAAGAGCAAAGTGGAGTAAGAGAATTGCAAATAACAGATATTTACAGCTTTCGTAAGAGATTCTGTCAGCTCGTTCTCATAGGCTGTATTCTCTATTATTGGAACAACAAGTTCATCATAATATCCATGACCCTTAATCCCTTTTATCATCTCCATGTGAGTAATCTGTAAGCAAACAAAACACAGAGTAAAGTCATCTGAATATAAAATGCTGCGAAATATTAATGATTGATCTGATCCAAGACATAATTCCGTCAAAATTTGTGCTCACAAGATTGTGAAAATACACCTCAAAACGATCTCTAAATGACATGCTATTAACACAAAAAAGAAAAAAAAAAGTTCATATGGATGGTCATAGCTACAGCTTAATTCTCTGATGCCCTAGCTGCAATAAAAGTGAAAGCTATTTTTCAAACTTGAGGGAGAGAATAATTTCGAAGGGAAGATCTCCCCTCAAGTTTCGAGTGTTCTTATTCCTATTCTGTATCTTAAATTGATCTCCTATTTTAAGATAAGGGTGATATAGGTTTCTTGCCATTATAAGGTGCTACTTCAGAGATTCGAACCTGGGAGATCAATTTGATCTCCTTGTTCGCAAATTGATCTACTATTTTGATTGCTCTTGTTCCCCAATGCACAGAGCAGAGGCAGTCAGGCACACAAAAATCATTCTCAGATATAAAAAAATCAATATTTATTTACTGTTCTGTAGATCTTCAAACTAAAGGCATGGCGTTGAGATTCTAAAGATAATTCACACTATAGACCTTCCAACTGCATGGTAATAATACCTTCCACAACAGGTTGGCTGGTCAGAGGATGGTAACCCATTGGGAAACTAGTAATTAATTGTCATGCAATAACATTCTCCCGCACCCCGTATCTCTGTATTTTATGTCCACAACGCACTTCACAGATGGGCGAGTGGCTAGTTCAGTTGGAAATGCATAAGGAGCTTATGGGGAAAGGAGAAATCTTCAAAAGCAAATATAAGAAGAATTTTAGAACTTGTTAATTATTAGTACTTAGTAGACAACATGGAAACAATTACCCTGAATTCTTTTGCCGATGGATTGAGCATTGTCACCAGGCAAGACTCCATTCCATGACTGTGAATGACGGCTCCAGCATCACGCATCTCATATGCCTACATCGCAGCAAAAAGAATCATCAGCACCAACACACAGTAGCAAGATGGGTACCCTAACTTAAACTGAAACAGATCAAGTAACTGAGCCATACTAGAGCAAGTAACTACATCTTCAATACAAGACCAAATGTAAAATTAAATTGGTATATTTTCTAAGCAGAACAGGAAATCCTCCTGACCTTCATAAATAAAGGAGCACAATCAGAACACTTGGGAGGCTTGTGAGGGTAAGGCTTCGGTGATGGTGCATACAATATCGAACCATTTCCTGACATGACATACATATCCTCTGCTTCCATTCTCTCCTTCTGAACACCTGCCAAACCACA